CTGAGGTAGGAGAATCGCTTGAACCCGGGAGGCAGAGGTTGCAGTGAGCTGAAACCACACCACTGCACTCCAGCCTGGGTGACAGAGTGAGACTCCGTCTCAAAAAAAAAAAAAAAGAAACGTCAACACAAGACATAAACTTAGCTGATAAAGTAGCGGCAGGGTTTAAGAGGACTGATTCCAATTTTTGAAAGAAGTTACACTGTGGGGAAAATGCTATAAAAATCCATAAACTGGGCTCAAAAAATAAATGAGACAAAAAGAAAAAAAAAGTCATCAAACAGCATCACTTACTACAGAAAAACTTTTGTGAAAATCAATCGATGCAACAAACTTTATTGTCTTATTTTAAGAAATTGCCACAGACATCCAAACCTTCAGTAACCGTGACCCTGATCAGTCAGCGGCCACCAACATCAAGGCAAGTCCCGCCCAACATCAGCAAAAAGATCACAACTCACTGAAGGCTCCGGTGACTGATACATTTCTTAGCAAAGTATTTTTAATTAAGGTATGTACACTGTTCAGCCATAATGCTATTGCACACTTAACAGACTACAGTATAGTGTAAACATAACTTTTATATGCACTAAGAAACCAAAACATTCATGTGACTCACTTTATTGCAGTTGTCTAGAACCACCGAGGTATGCCTGTATGTATACCCTTCAGGTATAATATACTGAACAGCGTCTCCCAAATAAATCACTTTTTTTTTTTTTTTCTGAGACAAGGTCTCATTCTGTTGCCCAGGCTGGGTGCAGGGCATCATCACAGCTCACTGCAGCCTCAACTTCCTTGGGCTAAAGTGGTCCTCCAGCCTCAGCCTCCTGAGTAGCTGGGACTACAGACACACACCACCATGCCTTGCTAATTTATTTTATTTTTTATGGAGATGGGGGTCTCACCATGTTGCCTATACTGGTCTGAAACTCCTGGCCTCAAGCGATCCTCCTGTCTTGACCTCCCAAACTGCAGGGATTATAGGTAGGAGCCACGCCCGGCCTAAATCATTCTTAATATGGTCTCCTGGTATTCGTTTCTCCTAAAACCCAAATCCTATTTAACTTTCAAGCCTCACCTCCTCCCTAAGGCCTTCACTGAGCTGTCTTCTCTTCTCTACATCTTATTATTGGATGTGGACAAACTACCCTCACAGTTCTCTGAATGTTTAATGTGGATGTAATTCTACTTTCCAAACAAGATTATAATCTCCCTGCTAACAGACTGCATCACTGTCTACGCATTCACAAAACAATGAGGGGGGTTTCTGGAGATCACTGTCCTAGGCTAGGCCTGGCCTTTACTTCAGGATCCCCTGGTTTTCAGCATACCTTTATCAAGTGCATACTATGTGCTAGGCACTATGCTAAATGTCTTACTTACATGGTCTCATTTTAATACTCACAACTCCATTCTAAGAAGAGAAAATTAAGGATGAGAAGATAAGTAACATGTTCAAGTAACATAGCCAATATGTGCCAGAGCTACGATTTGAATTCCAAAGAATGGGTTCTTAACCACTGCATCATATAACTTTTGGCTTCACTCATTTGATCATTCAGTCAAAATTACTACACTCCTGTGTACCTTGTGCCATTCTAGTGCTGGGAATAAAGAGATAATATATGAGCCCAGCCTTCAAAAAACTCAGTCTTAGCCAGGCATGGCAGCATGTACCTGTAGTCCTTGCTACTTGGGAGACTGAGGTAGAAGGATTACTTGAGCCTAGGGGTTCAAGTCCAGCTTGGGCAACACACCAAGACCTCATCTATAAAACACTAAATCTTGTAGAGGAGAGAAACACAAACAATTATATTAATAGTAGATGTGGTAAATACGATTACTGCTCTGTACAAAGGGTGGAAGCATAATGCTGGAGTACCCAACCAAGACTGGGAGGAAGGAGGTGTCAGGAAAAAATTTCCTGGACGAGGTGGACCTAAACTTTATAAATAAGTCCCATTTATAAACTGGGTTAATTAGGTGAAAAGGAGCAGCCTAATTAGGTGAGGAGGAGGAGGTGGAGAAAGGAAACAGGGAGAAGATTCCAAGCAAAGAGAACAAGGGCAAATACACAAAGAAGAAATAGCACAGTACCCATGAAGATGCCATTCAGTGAGCTGGAACCTAAAGCATGAGGCAGAGAAGAGGCTGGAGACACAGGCAGGGTTCAGATGAGGCAGAGCCCTGGCTGAGAAGCTCAAACTTGAGAACTTTCAATGGATTTTGCAAGCCAATAGACAATGAATGTTTGCTGAATGAATTAGAGAAAAGAATGGATGAATGCATGGACAGATCTTTAAAGATTAACCAGGAATTTGATGCAGACTTGTTTCCAAAGACCATCTGGGAGTGGAGGGGAGTACTGTGGAGAACAGATATAGGGGAATAGGCCTAGAAGCAGGGAAATCAGTTAGAAGGCCATGATATTGCAGATAAAAGGACAACAGTAGAGATGGAGAAGACTACATAGATTTGAGAGATGTTTAGCAGCTAAAACTATCAGGACTTAGTGATGAATGTGGTAAGAGTTAAGTCCAGGAAAGACGCTGAGTTCAGTTTCAGTCATCTGAATTTGAAGTGTCTGTGGGACTTGCAGGCAGAGATGTCCAGAAGGATAGTCAGAGGTGAGGGTAAAGCTCAGAGAGGTCTAAGCTGACAACTTCAATTTGGGAGCATGTAGGAAGTTGTTAAAACCAAGCCAGCTGATGGGTTCACTCAGGCAATGTGTACAGAATGAAAATAACAGTTTTTCATTGCTCATATGCCAAAGTAACAAACAACAGAAACACCCAACATTTAGGGAAGGAGGAAAATGACTACCCATAGCAGAAATGACTGGTAAGAAAGGCACATGAAGAACAGCTAGAATGTAAATTCCTTAACAGAAAACACTTTATCTGCCTTGTTCATCTCTGTATCCCAATCAATACTTGTTGAATAAATCATCTGAGAGCACTGACATGTAAAGCAAAGAAGAAGGGAGTAAGAGGGATGACCAAGTTCCAAAAGCAGCAAAGAGATCCAGCAATAATTGGAAAATGCCTATCTGGTTTGATAATCAGTCACTGGTGACCTTGGGGTGAAATTTCAGGGGAATGATGGGTCTGAGAGCTAGATACAGAAGGAAACAAAAGGTGAGGAAATGGAGGCAGAGTTTAGAATACTCATTAAAACAGTTTAGATATAAAGGGAAAGAAAGTTATTGGATGACAGCTAAAGTTAAAATGGATCACCAAGGACTTTTTCTTTCTTCAGCAGGGGGAATTGTCAGAGATCTGAGAAACCTGGCCTTGTTTATACATGACTGGAAGACAGAAATGACAAATGAAAACAAGGTATCATAAGTGACAGCATAAAATATCAGAAGCAAATACAAAGAAATTGCTTTGATTAGAAAGACAATTCATCCTCTGAGACAAAAGGAAAAGTAAAGGGTATAAATCTTGATGACTTTAAAAGGGAAAGCAGAGGCAGAAATGTGAGGGAAAGCACGTCTCATGACCCTAATTTTCTCCATAAAATAAAAGGTAACAAAGAGTAGGTGTCTGGGAACTTAATGGACAGTCGAAGAAAACCAATATAGAACAGTGGCGACGATCAAGGCCTCTGAAGTCGGATTGCTTGAATTCAAATATTGGTTCTACCACCTACTCGCTGTGTGACTTGGGGCAAGTTATTTAACCTCTCCAAGTCTTCATTCCCTCAAGTGTCAAGCGGTATTAACAATTGCTCTGCACCATGGGATTGTCACAAGAGCTAAAGGACAAAGTATGTAAAGCTCAGTGTCTGATAAAAAGCATTCAACACTATTATTGCTGTTGTTAATAGTGAAGGTAGGGCAAGCAGAAGCTGTGGACATATAAAAAGATCATTTGAGAGCAATAACTGTGGTGAAACCCCATCTCTACTAAAAATACAAAAAATTAGCCAGGCGTCATGGCACACGCCTGTAATCCCAGCTACTTGGGAGGCTGAGACAGGAGAATCACTTGAACCCGGGAGGCGGAGGTTGCAGTGAGCCGAGATCGTGCCGTTGAACTCCAGCCTGGGTAACAGAGTGAGACTCTGTCTCAAAAATACAAGAGAAGAGAAGACAAGACAGAAAGAAAAGCAATAACTGTATAAGAAGAACGAGCACAAATCTGTATTGTCTCGCATATGAACAATCCCAAAAAGTTCCAAACCTAGACCACAGTAATTCCAAATAGAAATTTCATCCCTGCTATGTTGAGCCACTATCACTGGTATGTATGGGGAAAGGCTTTTTTTTTTTTTTTTTTTTTTTTTTTTTGAGACGGAGTTTCGCTCTTGGCATGCCCAGGCTGAAGTGCAATGGCGCGATCTCGGCTCACTGCAACCTCCGCCTCCCGGGTTCAAGAGAGTCTCCTGCCTTGCCCTCCCGAGTAGCTGGGATTACAGGCATGCGTCATCACACCTGGCTAATTTTGTATTTTTAGTAGAGACGGGGATTCTCCATGTCGGTCAGGTTGGTCTCGAACTCCCGACCTCCGGTGATCCGCCCGCCTCGGCCTCCCAAAGTGCTGGGATTACAGGCATGAGCCACCGCGCCCGGCCAAGGATTGCTTCTTCTGGCATTCCTACAAGGCCTGTTGAGGATGCTGCTAAGGTCCCTCAAGTGCCTTTCACGAAGCATTTCTAGCGGAAACGCTGTCCTTCCCGACAAACTGGGCCGCCTCCGTGGTTGGCCAGGGCCTACTCTCTAATATTTTTTCTGCTGGTGTTGTAAGCAAGGTACGTACAGGTGTCGGGAGCACACGTGAACAAACACAAAGTGGGTCGAAGACCAACAGGAGCGTCCGCTGAAGCAGCCCAAGGGAGTAGGACGGGAGGACAGAGAAAGCAGCCGCCAGAGCAGCGAATGAAAGCAGCGTCATTCAAGGCACATCACTCAAGGGTAGGAGCTGCCTCGGCCTAACGCTCACCCGCGGCACTGAGCCCAGCCAGCAGAGGAGATAGGCTGACAACCGCCTTACCTCCAGACGTCGGAGACGGACAAATTCACGTTACTCATCTGTGCCTCGCCGCTTCCGGCGCTGCGGGATGACATCAGAAGCCGACTGGAGCGCGGCCAGTGATGTCAGCAGCACCTCTCTAACGGATTGGCTGAAAGAATCTTGCCCAGTTCCCAGATCAAAAAGCGTCCGCCCCAATTGGGTTCTCCCTGGGCCGTGGTCCACGTGAGGATCGTGGCAGTTATGCCTGTAGGAACCAGCTCTCTCACCATCGCTCTACCTGAGGGCCACTCGCCTGTCACTGCCTCACAGTCTCTGAATTGGGTGACATTTCAGACCCAGTCCCTCTGTGGACGTTTCTAGGTGGCTGTGCAGCTTCTCGATACTCCATAAGGAGATGTTCACAACCTTTAAGGCCATCTCTACTGCTGCAGACAACCTGCTGTAGCACTGCCCACTTGCTTTTTAAACTATAGTCCGCTTTCTCCCTTGTGCAGGGAGGAAAGAATGGAGAACCTGCACAGAAGGGGAAACCTGCTAAGATTTTTGTAGTGCGTCTACACTAAATGAACTGAGGGGCAATCCGGAGAAAAAAAAAGCAAGATGCAGGGATAAGATGCGTGTACTCATTTTTTACAGCAATTCCAGAACGTTCCCTAAGAATCATATTGCAATTATTCAAAGGCATTTTGGCAGAAGGAACAATCCCTATCTCGTTGGTAAAAGTATAGTTTATAATTTTTCTCAAATACAACACACTGGCAAAGATTCTTTGGTTGAATTACGTTTCTGAATTTTCTGCTAGGCCCATCTGTGCACTTCCCTGTAAAATCCAGTTTTAGCACAGACCCTGGCTAAGTCAGTTTAGCAAGAACCACCACCACCACCCCGCCTTATGTGGTTATTCTCAATATCTGATCAGGTTCCTTAGTCGCCACCATCCCCCAGGTGATGTCTGATTATGTTGGCCTGTCTCCAGCAAGAATCCTATTAGGTCTATTTAGCCAGAATCTCCTTTACCCCTGATGTTTCCTCTTAGTAATTTTCCATCCACTGACCCCTACACAGCTCCTTGGTCATAAATTCTCAATTGCCCATGCTGCTGTTCGGAGTTGAGCCCAATCTCTCTTCCACTGCAAAACCCTGTTGCAGTGAGCTCTATATACCTATCATGAAGTTCCTGAATAAAGTCCTCCTTACCATGCTTCAGCAAGTATCATTGAATTTTTTTTTCTTTAACAAAATTGAGACTTACGGAGTCACATTCTTTATCAAGGTGGAGTATCGTTTCCTTCCATGGAAAAGCAGAGACTTAACAGTATGATGGAGCTATTAGAGCTTTCAAGACAGAAGGTGGGAGGATGTTCCAAGAAACACAGAAGACAGGCTTGCTTTTGTTAGCAGAGAAGATGCAGGTTTATATTAGGGTCATATGAAGAAGTGGGAAAACACAAGCAGCATCTCAGCAGCCACACAGGCCTTACAGCTAAGGAATGTTGTTCACAACTGCTTAAGATAAAAAGAGGCAACTCTGGTGACATGACCAGTTTTGTTGTTCCCTCAGAATTAAGCATCCCTCTCAGTTAAGAGTGCTTCTTTGACCTGCCTTTGTGTGTCCTGCATCCAAAAGTTGGATTGGATCATTCTAATTACATTATTCACTATATAATGTGCAAAATTGGGCAGAGTTTCCATGTCCTGCTTGTTAGGCCTAGTCCATTGTCTATAGTGTATTAGTGGCCAGAAAAGCAAGATCACACAGCACAATGCATAGCTAAATGTATGGCAGGCAGTTAAGACTATCAGGAACTTCATACTGCCATGCAACTAATCACCAGAACTTTTTCATCTTGAAAAACTGAAACTCGGCCAGGCACGGTGGTTCATGCCTGTAATTACAGCACTTTGGGAGGCCAAGGCAGGCGGATTACCTGAGGTCAGGAGTTCGAGACTAGCCTGGCGTGGCGGCACTCACCTGTAGTCCCAGCTACTCGGGAGGCTGAGGCAGGAGAATTGCTTGAACCCGGGAGGCAGAGGTTGCAGTGAGCTGAGATCACTCCACTGCACTCCAGCCTGGGCGATAGAGCAAGACTCTGTCTCAAAAAAAAAGGAAAAAAAAAAAAAAAAAAAAAACTCCGTATCAATTAAATAGCTTCCTATTTTCCCTCCCCCAACACCTGGCAACCACCATTCTACTTACAGTTTTCATGAGTCTGACCACTCTAGGTACCTCATATAAGTAAAATCAAACGGTATTTGCCCTTTTGTGACTGGCTTATTTCACTTAATATAATGTTCTCAAGTTTCATCCACATTGTATCATGTGTAAAAAGTTCCTTTTTAAAGCTGAATAACACTCCATTGCATGTACACACCATACTTTATCCATTCATCCATCTGTGGATATTCCACCATTTGGCTATTGTGAATAATGCTGCTATGAACATGAGTGTATAAATATCTCTTCGAGATCCTGTTTTCACAATTTGCAATTGCAAAGACATGGAACCAACCTAAGTGCCCATCAACTGATGAGTGCATAAAGAAAATGTGGTACATATACACTATGGAATACTACTCAGCCATAAAGAAGAATGAAATAATGTCTTTTGCAGCAACTTGAATGGAACTGGAGGCCATTTTTCTAAGTGAAATAACTCAGGAATGGAAAACAAAATACCACACGTTCTCACTTATAATTGGCAGTGAAGCTTTGGGTATGTAAAGGCATACAGAGTGGTATAATGGACACTGGAGATTCAGAAGCAGGGAGAGTGGGAGGAAGGTGAGAGATTTTTTAAAACTACATATTAGGCTGGGCGCGGTGGCTCAAGCCTGTAATCCCAGCACTTTGGGAGGCCGAGACGGGTGGATCACGAGGTCAGGAGATCGAGACCATCCTGCCTAACACGGTGAAACCCCGTCTCTACTAAAAAATACAACAAACTAGCCGGGCGAGCTGGCGGGCGCCTGTAGTCCCAGCTACTCGGGAGGCTGAGGCAGGAGAATGGCGTGAACCCCGGAGGCAGAGCTTGCAGTGAGCTGAGATCCGGCCACTGCACTCCAGCCTGGGCGACAGAGCGAGACTCCGTCTCAAAAAATAAAAAAATAAAAAAACTACATATTGGGTGTAACTACTATTCGGGTGATAGGTATACTAAAATTTCAGACTTCACCATTATACAATTAATCCATGAAACCAAAAACCATTTGTACCCCTAAAGCCATTGAATTTTTTTTTTTGTTTTTTTTTTTGAGACGGAGTCTCGCTCTGTCGCCCAGGCTGGAGTGCAGTGGCCGGATCTCAGCTCACTGCAAGCTCCGCCTCCCGGGTTTACGCCATTCTCCTGCCTCGGCCTCCGGAGTAGCTGGGACTATAGGCGCCCGCCAGCTCGCCCGGCTAGTTTTTTGTATTTTTTAGTAGAGACGGGGTTTCACCGTGTTAGCCAGGATGGTCTCCACCTCCTGACCTCCTGATCCGCCCGTCTCGGCCTCCCAAAGTGCTGGGATTACAGGCTTGAGCCATCGCGCCCGGCCCTGTTGTAGGAGTTCTTTATGTATTCTGGATACTGACCTCTGATCAAATATAAGATTCCCATTTCATAGGGTGCTTTTCACTCTGCTTGCTGGCTGTATCCCTGGATGCACAAAACTTAATTTTGAAGTACTTCAATTTACCTATTTTTACTTTTGCTGCCTGTCTTTTGATGTTATATCCAAGAAAACATTGCCAAATCTGTCATAAAGCTTTTCCCCTTTGTTTTCTTCTAAGAGTTTTATAGTTTTCGGTATTATGTTTAGGTCTTTGATCCATTTTTGAGGTATGGTTTTTTTTGTTTTTGTTTTTGTGAGACAGTCTTGCTCTGTCGCCCAGGCTGGAGTGCAGTGATGCAATCACAGCTTACTGCAGCCTCGACCACCCAGACTCAAACAATCCTCCCACTTCAGCCTCCCAAGTAGCTGGGACTATAGGCATGTCCCATCAAGCCTGGCTAATTTTTTTTTTTATAGAGACAGAGGTCTTGCTATGTTGCCCAGGCTGATCTTGAACTCCTGGGCTCAAGCGGTCCTCCTGCCTCAGCCTCCCAAAGTGCTGGCATTACAGGTGTGAGCCAGTGTACCTGTCCTTGAGTTCATTTTCTGTACTATGTAAGGTAAAGCTCCAACTTCAATTTTTTGCACGTGGATACCTAGATTTTAGCAATACCATTTGTTGAAAAGACTGCCCTTTCCTCACTGAATGGTATTGACATACTTATTGAATATCATTTAGTCATTTATGCAAGGATTTATTTCTGGGATTTCTATTGTATTCCATCAGTCTGTATGTCTGTCTTTATGCTAGTACTGCACTGTTTTGATTACTATAGCTTTGTAATACTTTTTGAAATCAGGAAGTATAAGAACTTTATTGGGTTTTTTTTGTTTGTTTGTTTTGAGGATTGTCTTTGGCTACTCTGCCTAGGGTTTTGTTGTTTGTTTAACTCCAATGGTTAGAAATGAGATCTCATATGAAAACCCAGATTCTGGCTGGGCTCAGTGGCTTATGCCTGTAATCCCAGCATTTGGGAAAATGAGTCAGGAGGATAGACTGAGGCAAGGAGTCCAAGATCAGCCCAGCCAACATAGCAAGACCCTGTCTCTACAAAAAACTTTTAATAGAAATTTTTTTAAAAATCAGGATTCCTGATATCTTGGGGGGAAAACTCCATAAATCTACCCAAGTCCAACAACAAACAGCTAGAATTGTGAGTAGTTGCCATGTGCTCTCCAGTTTGCCACAATCTCCACCCACTCACTTATATAACCTGTCTGGCCCCCTGACAGCCCTTCTTTCTTTAAGATTTTGAGACTTCTGTTCTAAGGGAAAAGCAGTTGGAGGCAGAAGTACCTACCTGGTCTAAGGGAAAAGCAGGTGAAGCCAGAGGCTGTGGTTGCCTGGTCCAGAGACTTGCTCAGAAGGAAAAAATATGAAATTCTGAGAGAGTATAGCTGGGACACCTCATTTTGTTTTGGCATTTTGGGAAAGTTGTATTAGTCAGAGTTCTCCAGAAAACAGCAGGGAGGGAGAGGGTTGTGAGGGTATCAAGAAAGACCTATCTGGCCGGGCGCGGTGGC